AAAAAAAAAAAAAAAAACGATCCGAATGGATAAGTCCCCTATATGCCACTACATTGATCAGTTGTAAAGCCCGTAGCAAAGGAACCTTATACCTCCCTTTTAAAGGAACCATACTCATATTCTAATCAAAAAAACCTTTCATAAAGAACCAGTCAGATCTCCAACTGCCTAGGTGATCACCACGGCCACACTCCTCGGAGATGTTTGGGTGGTTCCCGCAGACTGCTGCAAAGAGAGTCTTGGGGTTTAGGGTTTCGGGCTTAAGGGTTTCAGGGTTTAGGTGTTACCCTAAGGGTCCAAGTACCTAATAATCATATACTCTCCCAAATATTAAGCTAGATTACTACCATCCGTGACCAAAGTACCCGATTTCATTTGGACCCTTAGGGTTTGGGTTGAGGCAGAAGGGTTTTAGGGCGTGGCTGAGTTGCGCTCAGCCGCAGAGACTTGAGGGGTGTGGAACCCTAAACCCTAAACCCTAAACCCTAAACCCTAAACCCCTAAACCTAAACCCTAAACCCTAAACCCCTAAACCCTAACCCCTAAACCCTAAACCCTAAACCTGAGGGCTTGGCTTCGCACACTTGGAGCCTCCTAGGCATCGGTAGTTGTAAGTGGGGCTATACCAGGAGCCCCCAATGGCCCTTTAATAGAGCCCTTATGGTCCTTGGGTTTAGGGTTTAGGGTTTAGGGTTTAGGGTTCAGGGGTATTTAAGGGATATTAGAGGGTAGTTGGGGGGTCTAGGTAAGTAGGGTCCCACTCATATAACTACGCAGTAGCCACCCATGGTTCGTATAAGTTAAGACGAGAGTCCGTGGATTTGGTTCTGTCAGCTTCGGGCTCAAGGGCTTCGGCTTTATGGATTGGGGCTTTTCGGTGTAGGACCTAGGGTACGCACCGCAAGTGGGGTTTGGGGCAAGCGACTTTTATGTAAGCTTCACTCCTGCAGACCTGATTTCTCGCCTGTCTTTGGGTTTGAGGGTTTCGGCCCGAAACCCTGAACCCTAAACCCCGAACTGATGTGATGGGTTTAGGGTTTGGGGTTTAGGGTTTAGGGTTTAGGGTTTAGGGTTTAGGGCTTGGGCGTGTTGCTCCCTGTCGGGTGGTTAAAATGGTGAGCTAAACCACGAAACAGCGGACGATCTGCAAGTCCCCAGCTGCGTATTCCCAAACCCTAAACCCGACAGCCATCATAATGAATCGTAAATCGTATTAAGTTCGTCAGTCCCAAACGCTAAAACCCTAAAGCCACAGACCCTAAAGCCCAGACAAAGAAGATGCTGCAAGCTTGTCCTGGTCTCTGCTTGGGTACTCTTTCGTAAACAAAACAGGGCTCCTCACGAACACCGACATAGTCCTACACGTGTGAGGCTTTTACATTTGGTGGTTCTAGCCACTAGTTAAGTATTGAACTGAGGAGACACAAGTTCTGCAAAAGGGATCCTAATATATATATATATATATATATATATATAAAGGGGTAGGGCGTCGCTTGAATCCAGGGCCCGCCGGGTCCTTTAGCGCAAATTAACCCTAGACCCTATAACCCTGAAGTCCTAGCCCCTTTAAACCATAGCGAAAAGTTAAGCCGCAGATCAGGCCGCTGAACCCCAAAGCCCTTCAGCAAACCCATCCCACGTTTCTCGGAGCCAGGAGCAACCCGGTTTAGGATTTAGGGTTTAGAGGCTTAGGGTTTAGGATTTAGGGTTTAGGGTTTAGGATTTAAGGTTTAGGATTCAGGGTTCAGGATTTAGGGTTTAGGATTTAAGATTTAGGGTTTAGGGTTTCCCTAACGGTCCAACGCACCTTTATAGCATGCACCCTAACACTCTAAGCTTAAAGTACTTTCTCTTAAGGCCCAAGTCTGTGCTACGTAGGCACAGGGACCCCTACGGAAAGTTCAGAAAGTTGAGGATCTTCGCCCTGGCCCTGCTTCGTCACTTGCTTGGTTGGTGCCCCTCACTTTTAAGTATAGATCCAAAACCCTAAATCCTAAGTCGTACTTCTACTCACTACGTCGTCAGGTCCTTGCAGGGTAACCCAGAACCCTTGGCCTTAGACATGCTTCGCACCAAAAACCTTGAACCCTATTTATCTAACCCCGAAAACCTAACCGTAAACCCTAAGCCCTCCGAGTTTTGTCAGGTGCTCGGATGGTACCACAAATCCTGGGACACTGAGCCGCCATTGGCCCGACCACCTGGGCAGGACATGGCTCTGAAGAAGGGGGGGGACTAGTGTTTGAGTCCCTGGCAGTAAAGTAGGTTTAGGGTTTAGAGTTTAACATTTTTTTTTGGAGAGGGGGGGGGTAGATTCTAACCCTGATAAAAAAATCCCATAAAAAATCCCAAAAGGTTAGCCTTCCCTAGGATACTGGGCAAGGAAGCTTTCACCCTGAACCCTAAACCCCTAAACCCCTAAACCCTACACCCTAAACCCTAAACCCCTAAACCCATAAACCCCTAAACCCCTAAACCCTAAACCCTAAACCCCTAAACCCCAACCATCTGAGCCTAAACCCTTGGGAGACTGGGAGTCAGATGGTGGGGTCCACGCTTAAGGCTTGCTGAGGCTTGGAGATGGTAGGCAAAAGTCGAAGTACTTTAGGGATTTAGGGATTTAGGGATTTAGGGCCTTAGGGTTTAGGGAATTAGGGATTTAGGGCCTTAGGGTTTAGGGATTTAGGGATTTAGGGCCTTAGGGTTTAGGGATTTTGGGATTTAGGGTTTAGGGTTTAGGGTTTAGGGTCTACTTGGAGGTTCATGGGTAGTTAAAAGTGGAGTTATGAGTAGGCTAGCTATAGTTATAACCCATATTAGGGGACTTATAACCCCAGTTATCACTAGCCATGAACCTCGTCTAAGTACAGGGATAAGATGGTCAACTGGCCGGTTTCGGTCAGGTAGAGTTTAGGGCCTTCAGGCTTAAAGGTTCAGGGTTTCGGGTTCACGGCGTTAGTGTTCAGCTTTTGGAGCTTAGGGCTTAAGGTTTTGTAACCCTGTAGCCGAGGACGTTCCAGGATTAAGTCCTGCGAGCTAAGTCTCGAAAATGCTTGCAGCCCTTCCCGAAGCCCGAAATCCTAAACCCTTGAACCCTGAACCAAGCCCCAGATCGAAGCCTTGGAAGCTTGCCATTTAGCCTCCCTGCTGTGGCGATGCAGGGCTTATAGGGTTTCACATGGGGCCTTTCGCAAATAGGGTTTCACAAATGGCAATGAACAAGCGGTGAAAAATGCCAGAGCCAGTATCACTTGGACCAGGATGAACGAACCAGAAGCTATCAAAAGGGAGTTGTTCTACCCTGGATGGGCCCTAAACCCTAAACCCTAAATCCTTTTCCTGGAACTCCGTCTTCAGTGGTCGAAACAGGAATTTACGCACGAGCCGATGCTTTGCCGCAATGCAGAAGGAGACAAGAAGGTTGGGTCGAGGGGGGCTGGAAGAATCCCTCTAACACAGGGTTTAGGATTTAGGGCGGGCGCCCAGTACCCCTTAATTAAGGAATAGACCTTAAACAATATGGTCGCATACCCTAAACCCTAAACCCTAAACCCTAAACCGTAACAATGTGGCCCCAGAGTTTTAAGGTATACTCCTTAGTTAAGGAATAGGCTCTCCAAGGAGCTTCCAGCAGTACCCCACGGTTTTGTTTTGTTTTGTTTTTTGGTTTCAGCAGTGGGCAAGAGGGGAGGCTCTGTTGAAGGGGCTGCTGTGAACCTAATGAAGGAGCTCCTCTCAGGGGTTTTCAGATCCCTAAACCATAAAACCCCTAGACCCCTAAACCCCTAACCCCTAAACCCCTAAACCCAAAGCCGCTAAACCCTAAACTCCTAAACCTTAACCCCTAAACCCAAAGCCGCTAAACCCTAAACCCCTAAACCCTGAACCCTATCTTGCAAGTTCAGGCTTCAGTGTTCAAGCTTTCGATGTTCAGTCGGGGCCTCTCTCCCCAAGGCCTCCTGGCGACAAGTTTGCTACCGACTCGGGCGCGTGTGCCTTGTCGGAAGGGCCAATGGCTAATGGAATGTGGAGTTCAGGCTGTAGGGTTTGGGGTCCAGAACTTTCTAGAATTTCGAGTTTAGAGTTGAGGGCTTGTAGGGTTTAGGGTTTAGGGTCCAGAACTTTCTGAATTGAGAGTTCAGGGTTGAGGGGTTTAGGCTTTCGGGTTGAGGGCTTAGGGCTTGGAGAATTTAGAGTATTTGGTTGTTTTTTGGTGTTGGGCTTGCAGTAAGGAATGTAGAATTTAGGGCTTCAGGCTAAGGTGGAGGGCTTTGGGAATGTTTAGGGCCTTTGGGTGCTGCGATCTGCTGATTGCAATTTACCATTGGGCAAAAGAGTACCCTGAAGATTGCAGGGTCACTGGGGATTGTTTCGACGGCTTAGGATCCTAGTCTGAAAACATGAAGATGAGCCAAATGAGCCCATAAGCCTCTCGGCGAGTAGCCATCATACCCTGACGAGAAGCTTTTGCTGCGTATCGCAAGCAGCATGTGGCAGATTTCAGACCCCACATGCTCTTCATAGCTCTTGAGAGATGCGGAACCCGAGTTTGCACCGCCTGCCGGGAAAGGATCAAGTCTAACTCACAGCTCTAAGCCCTGAACCCCAGGGCCCGAACCCCTAAACCCTTAAACTCTAATTCCTAAACCCCAAACCCTAAACCCTAAACCCTAAACCCTAAACCCTAAACCCTACCCTAAACCCTAAACCCTAAACCCTAAACCCTAAACTTTACTTAAGCCCCCAAACAGGAATCCTAGGCTCAAGTCAGCGTAAATCAGCCAAGGTACCGAGGCAAGTGGAGGGTTTAGGGTTTAGGGTTTAGTTTTTTAGGGTTTAGGGTTTAGGGTTTACATCCCTGGCCCTCAACCCTTTACCCTTTACCCGGCCCTATGCCTTCAAGGCCCTAAACCCTGCACTTATCGAGGCGAGCGGAGGCCTAAACCACAACCCTTAAACCCCAAACTAGGGTTTAGGGTTTAGGGGTTTAGGGTTTAGCGCTCCTAAACCTAAATCCTAGACCGTAAACCCTATACCCTCCACATCTGGGTAGTTCTCTAAATTCGGGTCCCTTTTCAGGGTCCTTTTTAATAAGGGTGCCGAACCATATTGGGGACCTTAAAGGGGACCCTAATTTAGAGAACTCCACATATCGAGGCAAGTGGAGGGGCATGGCGAATGCCAGCCTGGACCGGTGGGAAGCTGACATGGGAGTTTCAGAAAATAGGGGACCCTAGTATAGTACCCTAAATAGTAGGGTCC